AAAGAGGGAGTCAAGCTATTTTCCAAAGCACCTGAGGGAAGGACAAGAAGCAACAGATGGAAACTAACCAAAGAGAGAAGCAACCTAGAACTAAGGAGAAACTTCCTGACAGTTAGAACAATTAACCAGTGGAACCACCTGCCTCCAGAAGCGGTGAATGCTCCAGCACTGGAAGTTTTTAAGAAGAGAACGGACAGCCATTTGTCTGAAATGGTATAGGGTTTCCTGCCTGAGCAGGGGGTTGGACTAGATGACCTCCAAGGTCCCTTCCAACTTTATTATTATTATTATTATTATTATTATTAAATATTTGGAGGGCGCCAGAAAAAGAGAGGGAAAGGGAAGGAAAACAGAAAGAAAAAAACAGTACAAGGAAGTCAAAAGGGAAGGAAAGAGACGGAAGAGCCAGGGAGGACGGAAAAGCTATGTTCTCTGTCTAATTTTTGCATAATCGATAATCACAACTTACTGTATTGCAGAAAAAAAACATGGCAGTGAATGAAAGAAACAGAATTTGCCCTCCCCAACTTTAAAGCTTCAGTCTTATTTTGGGGGGACTGAATTGGTTTCCTTTGGACTGAACTGTTCATATCGGCCTTCTTTTAAACCTCTTTTGCTCTCATTTGGTTGGTGAGTGGCACTGCCCCCTTGACCCTAGACTATCCTTCAAAAAACCGCTACTTACCTTAAAATGTGTCTCAACCCACCAGACATGCAGGGATCTAGCCCTGCCCTTCGTCCTAGGAAAAACAGCCCAGTTCCAAAATCCGACGATGGGGAGGGCAGGGATTGCAATAGACCAATTTTGGCATACCGAGTTGAACGCTCCGTTCTGGCTGGAAAATAAACATCCTTTGAACGTTCTGTCAAAGTCCAGTTGTGGTAGCTGCCGTTCTGTTTTAGTTTTTGTGTCACTCGTATGCTGTTTGTGTCTTGCATTGTTGGTGCTGTTGTTTATTGCTCTGGTACTATTATTATTATTATTATTATTATTATTATTATTATTATTATTATTATTATTATTATTATTATTATTATTATTATTAGATATGGTATGAAGTATGTATACTGAGAGTTTCTGCACCGGAGACAAATTCCTTGTGTGTCCAATCACACTTGGCCAATAAAGAATATTCTCTTCTCTTCTCTTCTCCTCTTCCCCTCCCCTCCCCTCCTTTTTCTCTTCTCTTCTCTTCTCCTCTCCTCTCTCCCCTCCTTTCTCTTCTCTTCTCTTCTCCTCTTCCCCTC